TATATTAGTTCCTGGAGTTGAAGCCTTTTCATTCCGCAGAGCATCTTCTAAGAGTCGGTTGTAGAGTTCTACATCCGTCCTCCTAGGGTCGCGTGATTTGACAAGGCTTTTTTCCAGACTAATATTATAGATTAGCCAGCGGTGGTCAGACATAGAAATATTATCCGATACCTGCCAGTTCTGAATCTTATTCGATATTTCAGCTATTGCCAGCGTGATATCTATGACTGTTTGGCTACGAACATTAATAAAGGTAGGTTCGGTGCCCTTATTTAAGATATACAAATCTTTTATAATAATATAGTCATAAAGGGACTTACCTCGAGCGTTGTTGTCTTTGCTGCCCCAGCCTAAGTGGTGAGAGTTCGAATCGCAGCCGATAATAAGTTCTACTTTCTGACTGAGACAATGGTCTACCAGATCTTCCATTTCCCTTGTTGGTGGTAGGGTGGCTGCATCTGAGGGTAGGTAGACTGATGCTAGTATCAACTCTCTATTTTTGCCCTTTCCCCATGGGCACTTCACTTTAACCGCAGTTACGTCTGAGGTGAAAAACTGCGCCATGCTATCCTCCTTTGGTACATTTCTCTTGTAGAGTCATTCCACAGTGATTCTACATTAAATTTTTCCTCGGTGATTTTCTGTAGAAAATTTTGTTTTGGTGATCTTTTCATTCTTATATTTGCTAGTACTAGTTTGTGTTCACTCCCTGCGTCTGCTAGGTTTAAATTTCATTTGCTGAGTCCGAAATACATGAATCAATTTTAGTTGGACAAGAAAGTCTTACTGAGGTTTTCGATATAACAAAAGCGTTTGACATGGTTTGGAGATACGACATTCTTAACACACTAAGTCATTGAGAGCTATATTTTATTCACAATGTTTCTTAACAAGAGACAATTTAATGTTAAGATAAATGGTACAGTATCCAGCACTAAAGACCAAACAGATGGTATACCTCAAGGATCTGTTATTAGTTCAACACTATTCTTAGTAACCATTATTCCAAAACTTGTTAAGGCCAGATTAGACGCTGACGATTTATTGATATATTTAAGAGGAAAAATATTCTTTCGATAGAGCAAAAACTTACAATGTGCATTAAATCACCTTGAAAACTGGTCAAAAGCTGCGGGAATGCAATTATCTACAACCTAAACCAAATGTATTTTATTAAAAAAAACGGCTCTCTACAAATCCAGATCTTTAGTTATATGGAAACAACTTAACTTATGTGGAACAGTTAAAATTTTTAGGAATGATCTTTGATAAGAAAGTATCTTGGAAATACCGTATTATGCAAATTAAGTAATCTTGTCTATCTGGTCTCAATTTAATGGTAACATTGTGCAATCGTAATTGGGGCTCAGATTTTAAAAGTTAGATTTATATTTACAAATCACTAGTACGGTCAAAACTCGATTATGGATAAGTTATATACTCATCTGCAAAGAAGACACTTCTTGTTCAAGTCATACAAAATACAGCACTAAGAATAGTTGAAGCCCCATTAAAAGTTTACAATGGTTAACCGGGAAACTACCTTAAATATCAGAGGACTTGTCTCTAAAATCGCATCCCTCTTTTCATCGCATTATCGCTGAACGTTTCAAAGAAACTTTTATAAATAAAAAAGGACGAACCCTTTATTTTACGAGAGAATCAGAAGATATATCCCTCTCCTTAATTCAATTCCCAAAATTTTTTGATCAGACAAATACAGCCACACCTAATCCCTGGACCTTTTCTTCTGCAATATGTGACCTAACTCTTTCTAAATACCATAAACTTGAGACCCCTATTTAACAATTATTCAATCCTTCTACAAAATACTTGCTTCTTTCTTAGATCATTGTTGTGTCTATACAGATTCATCGGAAATTATTGATGATGTGGGATCAACAGTTATAGCTCCGGACATTGTATTATAGTTTAAATTATCTTCTATTTGTAGTATTTCCTCTAGAAAACTATACTTAATTCTACAGTACACTACATACGATAGAACAGCTAAGATTAATACTATTACAAAAATTAATATTAAACTCACCAGTCTTCGGGTTGAACCGCGTCGATATCCATTGGGTCGAGCTTTCGACATCCTCTCTGATTTCTTCCTCAGGGCTTCCGAGGTCTCAGTCTCCCAAGCTTCCAGACACTACTACACTGGTCACTGATCACTTCACTGTCACTACTACGGCTGGGAACAGGGGACGGTTCATTTATACCGTCGATGGTGGCGTGGCCTAGGTGGGGGTTTGGGTGGGGATTGGCGCGAGAGTTGGCGCGAACATTTCCGACAGTGGGATTTTGATTCGAGGATGGAGGGGCGATATTTTCTTTATGAGAGGTCTCCATGTAGAAGGTAACCGTATGGCGTCATCTCTTTTATTAAGACAATTTGGCCTTGTTTCTATTTCTATGCCTTCTCGGATAATTCTTGGTTTATAGAAGCGGATGGGGCTATGGTTCTGGAGTTTTCAAAATCAATTTTGTGACCTGTATGAAGATGGTGTTGACCGAGAGCTGAAATTGAATCAGAATTGCGAACAGAAATGGAATGTTCATAAATCCTATTTTGGATTCTACAATTTGTTTGGTCTATATAGAATCGGGGACAGTCTACACAAGGAATTTCATAAACTCCGTACTATTCATTTGGAATATTGTCTTTGATTGATCGGACAAGAGATGAAGGTTTTTGTTGGGGAGTAAATTTTGTTTTTATTCCTCTTTGTTTAAGAATTCTGTCGATTTTGTCAGTGCACCTTTGACATAAGGGAGAAAAGCTTTCGTATGATAAGGGTCTGAGTCTTTGGGTTAAGATTGAGTGGGAGATAGATGTCTGTGAATGCTCCTATTGGTGAAACAAGATTGTTTAAACAATAGAGCTCAGCGGGTCTACTTGCATCATCAAAAAGGCGTATTGATCTGAAGACAAGGGTAATAATGACTGAATAAATTTGTGAAGGTGAATGGTGAGAGTTGACATGAAAGTATCGATTGGTATGTGTGGGTTTTCGATAAACAGAGTAATGGAAACCTTGGGATTGGTTTTTCTTGATAAAAATATCGAGAAACGGTAGGGATGAATCAGTTTCCATCTCCATCATGAACTGGATAATAGGATGTATACCATTCAGATGAGTTTGAAAAGACACTAAAGCATCCCTGTCATGGGGCTAAATGACGAATGTATCGTCAACATATCGTAGCCAACAGTGGCTCTGTAAAAAGTAATACGTATATCACAAATCACAACCACTGGTTCAATATATAATAAATCAGTGCAAATCCTGGCCTATGCTGATGATATCAATATTGTTGAGAGAACGGAAAACCCTGTACGATAGATAATAAACACCAACAAAAGGAAGTATATGAAAATAAGCACGCAACTACAAATCCTACGACCACTTGTTATAGAAAACGACGTCATCGAAGCACGGAACAAATTTGTATACGTGGGAGTGCTTCTTAACACTGAAAATAATATTACCGCAGAGATAAACTGCAGAATTTGCACGACCATCAGATGCTATTTTGGGCTAAATATCCTCCTTAAATCCACAATTATATCGAGAAATACAAAAATAAAACTTTACAAAACAATAATACGCCCAGTCCTAACATATGGTTTAGAGACCTGGATTCTAACAAAAAATAATAAAAACATGTTAGGATCTTTCGAAAAAAAAAAAGTAGTAAGGCGAATCTATAAAGCAATGAATAACAATGGAAGATGGAGAAGATGATACAACTTCGAACTTCTTGAAATTTTTGAGGAGGCTAGGACTCACGCAGGGTTGTAAAGCCAAGATGATGATGATGAAGCAATACACAGTGCCTCTTGAGTGTTAGTAAACTTAGTGTCTGTTTCCGACTACAAATCGGTCTTTAAAGAAAAATTGACAAATGAATGGGAAAACGAATGGAATCTTTTACAATCAACTCTACACATCGTAAAGCTCTCATCCAAATCTTTGTGCGAGAAAAACTTGAAACACTAGCGGTTTGTTATCCTAATCCGTTTATGTAGATAAATATATTAGTGAAAAACAAAAAACACTTTATACTTAACAATATAAGTCTTAGGAGTATATTGTTTTATAAATAATATATTTAATTACTTAAAAGACATTGATGTTTTAAAAAAACTATAATTGTTAATATTTTGTAAACCCTATTTACAAATTGTAAAATATGACATTATTATCTAAATATGAACCTAATAATTAATCAAAAATACTTTTTAGAATTAAGTATCTGCGTATTAATTATCTTCTTCTCATGGCTCCGTCTCCTTTCGAAGGTTGGCGATCCAAATTTGCAATTGTGGTTTTGGAAACTGCTGCGCGAAAGATTTCTGCGGATGAGCGGTCGAACCATCTCCTTAGGTCTTTCAGCCATTCTGAAGTTCTGGCGTCTTCCTACTGATCTTTTGCCCTGTACTTTTTCTTCAAGTATAATTTGAAGTAATTCATCTCTTTCGCCTCTCTACACATGACCCAAGCATTGCATTTTCCTCTCTTTGATTATTCTTAGTAATTCTTTTTGTTTACACGTGCGACAAAGTACCTCAACGTTAGTAACTCTTTGTACCCATGGAATTCTCAACATTCGTCTATATACATATGTCTCAAAGGCATCTATTCTTTTTTCTATTTCAGAGTCTCTTGTCCAACTTTCACAGCCATACAGTAAGACAGAAAAATTAAAGTATTAATTATAGTACAACTAATAACCCGAAGTGATTGAGGCAGTTATCAATAAAAAAATAGCTTAGCTAGACTAAAAACTAGATTAGCTTTGATTCTTTGATACTCTCAACTTGAGATCCTTTGCAATACATTTCGCGGAAATAAATATTTCTATGATATAATTCAACATTCTGATGTTCAGTTGATTTGGTTGATTTCAAACTTGCTTTTTTTAGAATAATACAAATGACATTACAACACTAACATTAATCGAAATTAATGAACTTCTGTTATGTTTAGAATGATGGTACATGTGATGATCGATGGATGTTCCAGTGTAGAAATCAACGTTGCATACCTCTCTGGTGGAGATGTGATGATACAGACGATTGCGAGGATAATAGTGACGAGATAGACTGTTTATTTCCGACGTATCCGCCCACTGACAATGCGACATCACAAAGACCCAATGTCACTTGCGAAAGCAATCAGTTCCAGTGTGATAGAGGTGATTGTATTTTAGCTTCTTGGGTTTGTGACGGCATGAAAGACTGTTTCGAAGGAGAAGACGAGAAAAATTGTGACTCCTCCGTAAATTGTTCCCGATCTCAATTTAAATGTCAAACCGATGGCAGTTGTATTGCGGTAAGCATAGTGAATAGATATTTTTTTGTTATGTAGGTATTAAAGTTAACAAACTCTTGTCTGTTGTCTTGTCTTGTCTCTTGTCTTTAATTAACAAGTACCTCTTCTAGGCAACTGCTGTTTGCGATGGTGATTTTGATTGTACTGATAAAACGGACGAATTGTCTTGTAATAACAATTTACCTGATGAATCTGGTGCTCCTAGTTGTACCTATGGATTTTTTCACTGCGACGAAACTTGCTATCCATTATCGCTTCTTTGCGATGGAAACATCGATTGTAAAGATAGTTATGACGAGAATAACTGTTCAACAAGAGTGAGAGTTTACCATATGGAAGTGGATGAAAGGTAGAGTTTGAAAAGACCATCTATAATTTTTTAAGCATGTTTAAAATCTTTGAAATCTGTTTTTTCTTACATAATTTGATTATCTAATGGAATAATTGTACATTTTTATATTTTTCAAGTCTGCTTAACTACTTGATCTTAACGAAATCTATCATGTATAGTGTAAGGTCTATTATGAATAATACAGGTTGAAGTTTTGAAATTATAAAGTGTCGACACCACTTATGGAGTAAAATTGTTTTTGTCGTTATTTTAGAAAATTATAAAAACGCTGGGACACATCAACTTTTAAATTCAAATGGGTGCATTTTAAACATAGATTTAAATGTTTTGTGTGATTCGCGTCAAAAAAGTTTATTATTTAGAGTCTATTATGAATAATTTAAACTAAAATTTTGAAACTATGTAAAATTTTCGTCAAAATATCAAATACGTAAAATTTTGAAATTAATAATTTATCACACTCTAAAGGTCGATTTATACATATCCGTGCCGTGTCCGTTTCGTGTAATGACAGTGCACGGCTAAAAAAGAACAATTATGAGTATATTTATACGTTGGCGTTTTCCGGACGGGACCCGTCAGTGCCGGCCTGAAATTAATCCCAAACGATATTTTTGTTTTCGGCACTAGCAGTGCACGGAAATGACACGGACAGCAGGGACTTGTATAAACACGATTTTATAGTTTTAAACGCGAGTGCTAGTAAACAGATAAGCAATAGATGTTGTGCGGTTAGTATGTTATGGTTTTTTATATGTATTAAAGCAAAAAGAAAAAAAAGAGCACAGCAATATTCTAAAATAATCGTGAAATTTTGTTTCATCGTTCAATAATTTTCTGTATATTTTAAATTCTCCTTCATCATCATCATCATACGTGGCCCGACAATCTATTATGGATCTTGGCCTGCTCACAAATAAGTCGCCACTCCTGTCGATTCCTGGCAACTTCCCTCCATCTTCTGACCCTTTGAATCTGTAGCTCTTCTTCCACATGATCATTCCATCTACTTCGTGGTCGTCCTCTGCTTCTTGTGTCTTTTGGTTTTGAAAATGTTAATCTCTTCGTGTATTCGTGATCTGACATTCTAGCAATGTATCCAGCCCATCTAAGTCTCTGCACTTTAACGAATTTCACAATATCTGGATCGGTGTATAACTGATATAGTTCAAAGTTGTATCTTTGACGCCATAGCCCATTTTCATTTACGGCCCTAAAAATCTTTCTAAGAATTTTTCTCTCAAAAGTACCAAAAAGTCTTTCATCATTTTGAGATAAGGTCCAAGTTTTAGTCCCATCCCATATATCAAAACCGGTCTTATTAAGGGCTTGTATGCATTGAGTTTTACTGACTGTTTTGTATTTTTATTTTTTAAATGTTTCTGGAGACCGTAAACAGTTCTGTTTGCCATTGCTATGCGTCTTTTTATTTCGTCGCTTGTCGTGTTTGTTGCGTTTACTAGCGATCCAAGATATGTGAATTCTTTGACTTGCTCAAATGTATAATTTGAATTCTCTGTTGGATATTTCGGGGATTTTTAGAAACCAAGATATATTTGGTTTTCTGCTCGTTTACCATAAGTTCTAATTCACTTGCCGTGTCGGGAAGCCTTGTAAAACACTGCACCATGTCTCTCATACTTCTGCTTTCTATAACTATCTCGTCAGTGAATAAGAGAATTTGCGCCGATCTATTAAAAATAGTTCCATTCATTCTAATACTTAATTGTCTGATTGTCTTTTCCAAGGCAATATTAAAGAGGAGACACGTCAGCGCGTCCTCATGTCTTAGACCATTATTAATGTCAAAGAACGTAGAGTTTTCTTGTTTAATTGTAACACATGGGGTTACGTTTTGCATTGTTAGTTGGGTCAACCTAACTAACTTGAGTGAGATCTCAAAGTCTTTCATTGCATTATATAATGCAGTTATTTTCATACTGTCATAGGCTGCTTTGAAGTCAACGAAGAGATGGTGTGTATCTATTTTACATTCTAGTGACTTTTCTAGAATCTGCCTATGTGCTTGAATTTGATGTGTAGTTGACTTTCCAGCAGTAAATCCGCATTGATATTTACCAAAAATATCCTTTGTAAAATATTTAAGTTCTTCAAATAATACATTGCCGAAGATTTTATCCGTAGATGTTAACAGAGTAATGCCTCTATAGTTTTTACACTTCAGTTGATCACCCTTTTTATGCAACGGACATATTATTCCCTTTAGCCACTCTTCTGGTACCAATTCATTCTGCCATATAAGTAGGTACTATTAGTTTGTGGATTGCTGCAAAATTTGATCACCACCTTTTTTATACATTTCCGAACAGATTTAGTTTATAGTGTATAGTGCGATTAGCTTATCCAGAGGCCCAAGATAACATTTTGGGAGAAATTGCTGTAGATACCTTCGTCTATGGGTTAAAGAAAGTGAATTACAGAAAGCTTTACGACTAGCAAGACCGAAAGTTCTAGATGAAGCACTCGCTATTGCTGTGGAAAATAAAACAGCTAGTCAAACTTCACGGAGCCATCGAGTAAGAACCATTAAAGAAGGCGACGAACCAAACGATGAACGTCTGGAAGAAATGGTACGAAAAGTAGTTCGTAACACGATACCAAAGAGACGTGAGCCCAGATGTTGGAATTGTATTGACGTAAGTCACATTCGCCGTAATTGTAAGAAAATGATACAACAGTCGGAAAACTAGACCGGGTCGACACCAAGGGGCAACTACCCACCTCGAGAAACATAGCCCCCATAGTAACTGTGAACATAACGTCCTCCGGTGGAATTCATAGCTGGTACATCGAGGGTCGTATCAATAATAAATCTGTACCTGCACAAAATACACCAGGTAGCGTGGCTGGGCCCATGAATTGTGTAATTTAGGGTCCATAATTTACGCAAATAAAAGCTAGAAGAATTTGTTAAAAAAGGCGTCGGCAAACATTTTTGAAGATCTACCATATACACTTTATAAGATTGATCGTTTGATGCTATTTCTTTATTCTTTCTTTTTAAATTGTAACGAAGCGATGCTTTTGTTAGATGATTTTCTTGATCAGTTTTAACTTTTTCTTTTTCAGCATTGCTTAATGTACTTTCTATAAGTTTAGCAGTAAATGAATTGTAAGTGTCATATGTCATATTATTACAGGGTGGATGGAAACAGTAATTAAATTCTTCTTTGAATACTTCTACTCTAAACTGCCAATCTTTTGCTGGAATCTGCCGTAAGGATTGACATTCTTCTACGTATAGGGAGTACATTTTGGAAATGTTTAAATGGCTACTTAAATATAATTTTTTTTTTTTCGTTCTTGACTATAATCTGACTGATACGTTGGATACTTTTTTATGTGTTTTATTATAATATCTACAGTAGCCTCCGATGTTTTATTGGATGGGGTATATCGTCCTCGTAAGTTTGGTGTTACAATACCACAATTAAGAGCTGTTTTTTAAAGCTGTTTTAACGAAAGTATTCGAAACTGAAAGAGTATTTAGGAAAAAAGTTTTGCACACTTTTATATCCTGATTATTAGATGTTACTGTGTACGTAAAAATATTTTGTTTTTCACTTCCATCATTGATTTGGTTCACAGTACGTCTACGAGCAATGTCCTGGGATTTTACATACGAAGCAACATATTGTCTTTTGCAATCCCAAGTAGTTTCTTCATTCCAAAAGGCATTAAAAATATGTTGCCTCTGAGTTTTATCCAAATAAAGTCTTTTTTAATGCATTTTTTTATATGCGCTTTTCTGAAGAAAATCCACTACATAAAACGAGACCTTACATTCTTATCTGCATCAACGTCATATTTAACTTACCTATTGTGTTAGTATGCAGTGTTTTATTTTCCTTCAACATTCCATCAATCGTCTTGTTCTACTGTTAAACATATTCATTTTTACATTTACATTTTTTGTCCATATTACAATTAATAAAATAATAAAAAAAAATATTGCACACACAAATAAAATCACATAAACTCGTTTGCTTATGACAGTTCAACCATTCTACTATTTTTTAATTTGAATAATTTAGTTAGGTTACGATTTACCTCGACACAACGTACACAGCGCTGTACCTAAGCAAAACTAGTAAGAACCATAGAAACCCAACTCCAAGATGGGTTTATCTAAATAAACTCTTTTGAACGAAAGTAACTGATCTACCAATTAGGTCTATTTGGCTCTAAAAATAAGTTTAACTTAGGGTTCTTTAAACAACTAAATTTTCCTCGATTTTATGTATATGGAGAAAGGTTTATATGGCTCTTATAGAATAAGAAACAAGCAGTTCATTACTGTATATCCTACATTAGACAAAAATGAAGTTGGGTTACTCTCACACACAACGTTGAGTTAAATTTCGGAGCTAAATATTACACATAACTAGTACTTTTACTACCAAGGACCCATTCCCAAATTCTTTATACCAAACGAGACTGGTAATTTGAAATTATTTATTTTAGGTTTACAAATGCTAGTGCGATATACGTTAAGTGGTGGATTGTTCGACCAGTCGATCTAGAAGTTGAATACGAGCCTTCTATCAAAAAAATTGGGGAAGAACATTGGAGAAATGAAAGTTGGACCAGTCAACCTTACCATCAATTTACTAACCTAGAACCGTTCACCAAATATAACATGACTGTATATGTCAGAATCAAGAACACACACGTAGTCTTCCCACCAGCAATATTTAATGTATCTTCCACAAGCGAGTCAATTCCAAGTGAACCCTGGAATGTTTCCGCAAGGCAGAGAAATGGTTCACATATATTAATCTCATGGAATAAGCCACGGTCTCCTAATGGGATTATTGTTTCTTACGAACTGTGCTGGATATTCCCAAATTCAGCTGAGATTAGGCTTAAATTATCTGGCAATCAAACCGCACATATGCTTTCACAACACTTTGATAATGGACTTAATTACACCTTTTGGGTAATCGCTCATAATAGAAAATACCAAAGTAAAAAGTCTCTACCAGCTACATTAATATTTGATGGAAAAGCAAGTATAGAAGGTGTTAAAAATATTAAAGTAAAAGAAGAAGATGACAGTATTTCTCTGACTTGGGATTATAGTAAGGAAGCAGAAGGATTTGATGTAAGAATCTTTATAGATAGACCATATCCCAATCTACCTCCTAGAACCACGTCATCTAAAAACATTACACTCAAGTTAGCGCCTGGAGTTAATTATAAAGTTGGGGTAAGTATACTAGCAATGTTTTAAAACCTGTAGGTACACTATCAACCGGAACATTATTTAACACGTTAAACGTCATTAAATTAGTTTAATTTACTATGTTTGTACTTTGAGAACAACTTTCGAAGTGGAAATTGAAACGTCAATAAACTTATTTTAACCTGTAATCGTGGCTTATTCTCATTCAAATAGTAATTACTTTAAATATTATTATTCTTTTGCTTTGTTTAATTAAATCATGGGATACAAGGGATAGTGATGCGCAACGTATAGCCTCTCCTATCCAAATGTCAACCTCACTTGCACGCGTGATGATCTTGATTTTGTTCATCCGGTGCATCCTGCTAGATAACAAACGAGGCTCTGGCGTCCGAGTGATTGCCGGTATAAGCAATCCCCCATTTACCTACCAACGGCTTCGGGCGGATGAGTTGGTAAGTGGTAGGGCACTCTTTTGTCCTATGGTTGAGAAATTGGCCCTAAAGGCGGATGAACCGAGAACTAGGTCAACGGCGTAAGGATGTAGAAAGCAAGGAGAAATTAATACATCTATCATGGCTACAGCTTTGAAAGTGAAGACTTTCACATATATATCGGAGATCATATATATCGGAGTGCAAGATCCGTCAGGGGAGGAATAACAACACAGAACCTAGGGGCCTCCCAAGTCGTTAACCAGCGAAACCCCCAAGTTAAAGGGAAGGATGCGCCTAGAAAAATTAAGCAGTTTATTAAAATACTACATTAAGTATTACATTACTTACAACATTAAGGAGGGAAAGGCCGCAGGACCAGACGAGTTCTACTCAGAATTTTTGAAAATTATGGATAAAGACGAAGTAACATTCTTTTTACCTTGATCTTCAACAATATATACCAAAGTGGAAAAATACCCCAACAGTGGCTAAGATCAACTTTTATAACAATCCCTAAAAAACCCAATGCCAAAAAATGTGAAGATTATCGAATAATAAGCCTTATGAGCCATCTCCTGAAAACTTTTTTAAAAATTATACATAAAAGAATATATAAAAAGTGTGAAGAACATATGACAAACATACAATTCGGCTTCAGGGATGCATTGGGTACTCGAGAGGCACTTTTTGCAATACAAGTTCTCTTTCAAAGATGTAGAGACGTGAATTGTGATATATATGTGTATTTTGTGGATTACCAGAAAGCGTTCGATAGAATAAAACATGACGAACTGATGAAAATATTAAATTCAATTGGTCTAGACAGCAGAGATCGCCGTATAATAAACAATATCTATTACGAACAAACTGCAGCTGTTAGAGTTGGGGACCAGCTAACAGACGATATAAAGATAAAAAGAGGTGTACGACAGGGATGTATATTGTCCTCATTATTGTTCAATACATATTCAGAGCACATTATGAACCTAGCGCTAATGGACATAGACTAGGGAATACTTATAAACGAAGAACGATTCAACAACATTAGATACTCTGATGATACTGTCATTTTTGCAGACAGTCTTAAAGGTCTGCAGACACTTGTCTCCAGGGTGGCAGAAGTAAGTAGCAGTGAAGAGCATTTGGTTGATAGTTGTGCCTCTATCGCCCATCAGAGTGCTATAGGGGGGACGGGGATGGTCTGGAGCATTGGAGCGCGGTGGGGTGACTCCTGTTTTTACACGAGTTAACACACCTAGCTCCAATGAATTGTTACACCCGAAGGTAATTCTTAGGGGTGAACATTTCTCACAGACTGGGTTTATTTAAATTGCTTGCTTGCTTGAGTCTAAACTAAGGTCGCTAAAACCAGATACATGGCAGTGGAAAACTATTACTAGTACATGGTTTATTTAAACGGATTTAACTCGCCTACGTGTACTCGCCAGAGTGAACGCCCCTTTCAATTTTAAATTAAATTACTGAAAACGTATTTTTATTTTTAGATTAAGGCAATTAAAAAGGATCTTGTTGAACCAACGGCGTACATCAGTTTTAGAAAAGCAGGCAATTCTCTACCTGAAATCGAATCTTTACAAGTAATAGCTCTACAAGATATTGGTACGGCTGTAAAGTTAAGGTGGGATAGGCCTAAATATGCGAAGAAAGTAAATTGGACGTATGGTGTCTATTATGGTATCAATCACCAGCAGCTCTTTGAAAGTAAGTTTTAAAAAATTTCAGGTGATAATAAACATTCGATCCGAAAATAAATGATCAGTGTAATATATCTTATATACTGATCCTAATAAATTAATAAGTAAATATTACAATTCTAATAGCAAAACTCGTAGATGTCTTTCTATTTTGTGATATACCTCCCTTTGGTCCAAAAATAAAATTAAAATTAAGTTGAGAAGAGAAACGAGTGGATAAGAGAGAAAACAAAAGTGAGGGATGTTAGACAAGAAGTTGCAAAATTGAAATGGAGATTTGCCGGACACAATATAAGACAAAAAGAAGACCGATGGAACAAAATTCTTATAAGTTGGAGACCGTGGGAATATAAACAAAGCAGAGGAAGGCCCCAAATGAGATGGACAGATTGTAACATTTTTTTTATTATTAATAAATCAAATTATTTTTAATTCCTTTTACCCCCGTGCGATACGCCGATGATTAGGAATCCCCGTGTTTACGATAGGAAAATATTATTGTAGACACCAAGCTGAAATGGAATTCCCTAATTAAGAAAGGTTTTTAATCCTTCCGTCTTAATACTCTGTATGAAAAGAACAAATGCTTTCCGGTATGCAGTTTCTTTTTCATAAATTGGTAATTTTCGCCGAAGGCCCGTATCTTTTGACAATAATATAATCCTAAGGATTTTAATATTCTCAGGTCCAATTGTTAATACCGATTATTTTACCTCAAACTTTCCAATAGTCGTTAAGGCCTTACCTTCTGAGAAATACATACGACTGTCCGATGATTTTAAGTGGGGGATATACCTTCTTCTTCTTTTTTCTTGGATAGTTGGTGAAATTTTTAGGGAACCAACTTACTTCTCGGTGGGCTCTTGTTGAGTGAAGTGATATCTCGTGATGCGCTTTGCTCACGATATTTCTTATCTTATCGTCGCTGTGAATTATTTTCTAAGTGTGTGTACACTTCATATTTGAGTTTTCTTTCCTTAGACTATATTAAATTATATATAGTTCTACACTACCTTTAATGGTTATTAAATTCAGTGTTTAGTACCAGAAAAGTATTAAATTCAGTGAATTAAGCTGCCTTCGTCAAGATCTACTGTAAGTAATCTTTATCTACAATTATCTGGGCGAGTAATATGGTATGGTACCATATCACCTGCCATTATCTGGACGTATCATCTATATCTTCACCTGTAGATTGCCGATTTTTGAATGTAATTGAACCATTCAAGAAATTTCTATAAATATTACCTATGAACATACAAGTCTCAGTTTTTTATTAAATAATAGTGCGAGATAGTTAATTGACTTAACCAAGTGCGGTTTGGTTTATGTTTTCATTCCTGTAACCTTTTTGTTTTTTTTTTTGTAAATTTAGAGTTAAGTAATTTTTGCTATCTTTTGTATTTCCTATAATTTTTGTTCATTATCTTTCCTATGATATCTCGAGATACGCCAAACTATATTTGTATATGATTGCCTTATATATCTTGGTAAAGGTATTTTTTTTATTACATTATAGCTTAATTTTATACATATATAACACCATTTCATAGTTGTGTATTTTTATTACCTGGGTTGCATTTAGCAGCATCATAATTTTGTGTTTAATATATTGTTATTGTTTTATGCATGTATTTTATTTGTCGGCTCCTAACAAGTTCCCTGATAAAATAATAGCTCTGAACAATTACTATCTTTAAATATTACTATGCTTTTGAACTGTAGATAGATCAGGCTGATTAAGTTTCGTAGGTAAGTAAGTGTAATACTTAATATATTTATTATTTGTTTATATATTGCGTTGACCAGATTTATTTGATAATTTACTGTTGGTATCTTTCCTTGGGTTTGATCTCTGAACCTAAATATCTTTTCTTATCTCTTTTCTTTTCTAAGGTTTTCTTAATTTTCTCCTTAACCCCAAAAAATTGAGTGGCGCCCTGTTTCTATCTTCTCTTATCTGTGGTAATTTTACCCATCTATCTTTTTGTTTATTTCTGTATCTTTTCTAATATCTCTTATCCTATCTTTACCTATTTCTTCCGTTGGATCCATTCCCGGTTCCAAAAGCTGGTTTCGAACCCACGACTCGCTCTCCACCAACCATCTGGCTGCCGTCCGCAGTGTCTCCATTGGTTATCTTTCTAGCACCACCCAAAAAAGATTTCCGAGGTTACAAGATGATATCAAGAAGCACGTGGGCTCTAGATGGATGACTGTAGCGACTGACAGAGAAGAATGGAAAAGGATTGGGTAGGCCTATGTCCAAAGATGGACCGAAGAAGGCTAATGAGATAGAGAGATAGTAAAGTTTAAATGATTTAAATACTGTTTAAAATTTGTGTTAAAGGATAAATATTGCCGAGTGATGGCAACTCTTCTGACTGACCTTTAAAGAAGGGGTAAAATACTATTATGGTATTAGTTCTTCTTCTATGCTTATTTAAGTCTGTTAGTTCCAGCAGAGTTTCTGTATAAGATGAATATAAAATTAATGGAAAAAACCCCGTAATTGGCTGTATACCATCGTTTAAAAAAACACAGAAGTTAATTGAAGAACAAAAAAGCCAAAGGACCCGGAGGGATACCAAACGAACTAATTAAAAACGGAACGGAAAAGTTATTCCGCATGCTACACAGAATGTTCGAAAGAGGACTAAATGGAGAGGAAATACCTGCGGAATGGACACAAGCATACATCACATCCATACATAAGAAAGGAAACAGGAAAAAATGTGAAAATTACAGAGGAATTAGTATATTATCGTCGGTTGGTAGACTTTACGGGAAAATTATCAAGGAAAAACTAGAAACTGAAATAATAGGAAAAATTGAAGAAGACCAAGCAGGGTTCACAGTAGGAAAATCATGCCTAGATCATACGTACACATTAGAACAACTAATAGAGAAGAAAATAGCAAAAGGTAGACCGGTCCATCTGGCGTTTGTTGACCTAAAGAAAGCATACGACTCAATACCTAGAGTCAAATTATGGGAAGCAATGAATGATTTCGGAATCCGACAAACACTAATAAAAGCAGTTAAAGCACTGTACAAAGAAAACAAAGTAGCTATTAAATGTGGAAATAAAGCCTACAATCCATTTAAGACGACAAAAGGACTTCTACAAGGCTGTGCTACGTCCCCTACTCTGTTTAAAATATTCTTGGAAAAGACACTCAAACCATGGAGGAGAAAGTGCGAAGGAATGGGCATACCAGTAAGAGACGAATACCTATACACCTTAAGTTTTGCCGACGATGAAGTAGTCATCGCACAAGATGAAGAAGATCTCAGCTTTATCCTCAGAAAACTAGCAGAAGAATATAAAAACAACGGAATGGAAATAAACTTAGAGAAAATCGAATACCTAACAACAGAAAACAAGGATATGAGAAACCTAGAGATAGACGAGGGTAGACAAGTAAATGGAACAGATAAATTCAAGTATTTAGGAACCATAATATCGAACCAGGGAACAACAGAAGAAGATATAAACAACAAACTAAGACAAACAAGAAACTGTATAAGACAACTAAATTCAGTGCTGTGGGATAAGAACATTACGATAAAGACAAAAAAGAGAATATATAATACCCTGACAAGAAGTATCCTGACATATGGGGCCGAAAACTGGACAACAAACAAGAGAAATAGAGGTAGAATAAGAGCAGTAGAAATGTTCCTGAGGAGAAGCTGTAGACTTACAAAAAGTGACAGAAATGAAAACGCAGAGATTAAGCGGAGAATGGGAGTGCAATCAGACATAATCGACTATATAGAGGAGAAGAGACTATCCTGGTACGGCCACGTCAGAAGAGCGGACAGAGGACGCTGGATAAACAAAATCACAGAATGGAGCCCGATCGGAAGAAGAAAGAGAGGAAGACCCCGAAGGTCATTCACGAAATCGACGAGGCTATGGAGAAAAGAACCCTGCGAGATGGAGACTGGAATGACAGGGAAAATTGGAGAAAACGGTTGAGTGAAGGAAGACAGTGAAAACTGTGGAAATCCTTAATAGTAATAGAAGTTAAAACACTTCACACATGTGTATTGTGGTATAAAAATAAACAAATATTTAAAACTTTATAAAAGTGTCGTCAACATTTAAATTCTGGTAGAACGTTTTCAATCTGAACAGATCATCCTCAGTGCCTTGTGTATTTGTTGCTAACAGTAAAGTTGTCTATAAGACCTCCATGTATGGATTTACAGTATTCCAAATTTTACATTTAATAATGTTTTGACTCCAGGTCGATGACAATGGATATATTTTTAATAATATAAATAATAATTTAAATAAGATGAATATACTTTTTTTATTTAACTCCAACTCTTATTACAATATATCTATACAATCCCAACTTAAATGTTTAGGTTGATAATAGGACAAAGTAATATGACTTACTTTATCATGATAAGCATTCACACATTTCTGCTGAGGTCAGGCTTCAGTATCATGCAAACTTACTCAAATATTCCACTTACAAAGTGTTCTCCACTGATGCCTTCAAAGATTACAACGGAGTAGCAGCTGCTACTGATGTATCAGAAAACGTAATTTCTGCCACTGTATTAACCTACGGCTGTAGTACCTATTTATACCGCAGAGCTCCAAGTAATACTTGACGCTCTAAATCATTATAAAACCACAAATGAAAAACAAATACTAATATTATTAGATTCATTAAGTTCCTTAGAGGCCATTAAACATGTTTAAAAAAACACAGAAGTTAAAACACTTCACACTTGTATTGTGGTATAAAAACACATAGTTAAAACTTTTTAAAAAAGTGTCGTCAAAATTTATGTACTAGCATAACGTTTTCGATCTAAACAGATCATCCTCAGTAGATACATGGAGACATGTAGTCCCTAAAGTAATAAAAATGTTATCCATTGTCATCGACCTAGAATCACAACATAATTAAAATTTAAAATTTGGAATGATGTAAACCCATATATGGAGGTCTCAGCGATAACTTTATTATTAGCTTCAATTACATAAGGCACTGAGGATGATCTGTTGTGATCGAAAACGTTATGCTAGTACATAAATTTTGACGACACTTAGTCAAAGTGTCATAAAAAGTTTTAACTATGTGACTTTTTTGCCTATGTAACTTTTTACTTTAGAAATTTCTTCAGAAAATAAAACTATTTATAACAGTTGTTATTATATGTAAATCCATACAAAAACTAAAAGTTCTTTTAAAGTTTTACTTTTTATTTATAAATAATACAGAAATTATATATAAGATCTTTTATTATTGGATTTGCTTCAATATTTCTCAAAAATATTATGGTTTCTGCTTAAACTTAAGAGTCTTTTTTCGCTTATTCGTTTAAGATTCCGACTTGTTTCCAACAAATTGTTTAAAATTCAAAATATTTATAGGTCCTAGAAATACAACCATGAATGAAAGTATCACAATAACAAACTTGGATTCCTGTGAAAACTATATGTTTTCTGTTGGTTTGGTTGGTCCTATTGGTTTCGGACCCTTATCTCAAAATGTCCAACAAGTTAGTACTTCTGAAAATCCCAGGGCTCCACCTAAGAGACTTACAGTGGAAGAAGATGGCAATAATCCCCTCCAGATCAAAATATCTTGGATACCGCCGTGTCCGTCACGCCAACCAGAGTTTTACAAGGTAAATTATTTCTTTGTCATTTAAATATGTTATAAAACCATTTTTTGTTAAATTTCTTTTATAAAACAAGCTAAAACAGCAAGCTTACAGGATTTGTTGAAATTTCTCTAATTTAATCAACATACCTGAGTTCAAATTTGGATATTTAAACAAGATGCTTTGGGATACCATACTAATTGCTGAAATACTGTGGAGCAGTAATGACAGAACAATTAACAACATTAATTAATAAAATTATAAAACAATAAAAAACCGGAAGAATGGAAAACGAGCGAACAAATTCTTTAATCCAAAAAAGGAGATAAAACAGCCAGAAAACTACAGAGGTTGTTAAATACTACCCTAAAACTTACAACTAAAATTTTACAAGTGCTATTAAATTAGAGGATAAGTTTAGCAGGTGAACAACAGGGTTTTGCGTAGTGGAAGATCTTGTACAGATGCAATATTCGTGATAAAGCAAATTACTGAGAAATTACTAGAGTGTAATGGACAAGCACTTCATTGTCTGATTTCTGATTGACCTAAAGAAAGGGTTTGATAGAGTAAGACTTAAAGATATAATTCATCTTCTGTATAATAGAGAATTTCCCCTAAATATTATAAAAACTATCGAAAACATCTACCAAAACAGCAAAATGAAGGTCAGAATAGATGGACAACTTACAGAACCGATAGAAATAGGCAGAAATAGACCATGCTCTTCAATTGAATTATGGATGAAAACATCAAAAGCGTTAACAAAGGAAGAGGATAGAGAATGGGAAACAAAGAAATAAAAATACTCTGTTACGCAGACAACGCAATATTGATATCCAAGATGAACATAGTTTACAGAGACTGAACCACAGATTTAAAATAAGAGCAAAAGAATTTAATATGACAGTCTCATCTCAGAAAACTAAAACAATAGTAGTCAGCAAAGAACCAACCAAATGTAAAATAGAAATTGATGGCATCAGTATTGAACAAATAATGAAAATAAAATACCTGGAAATTGCACTGTCCAGCTATAAAGAAAGAAATTCAGCCAGCTTTGAAGAAATTGAAAAATTCTATCATGATTTAGACAAAGTATTAGCATCTACAAAGAAACACGATCTCAATATTATCATGGGAGATTTTAATGCAAAGATTGGTGAAGGTGAACAGGAAGATATCATAGGAAAATATGTACTGGGAATACGAAATGAAAGAGGAGATATGTTTGCATCTCTTTGCGTAGAAAAGCAATTAGTAATAACAAATACAATTTTCAAACTTCCAAAATGTCGTCTTTACACCTGGAAATCACCAGCAGTTTTTTTATATCATTGATCATAACATTCATCTTAGGATAGATTGAAAGTAAAATATATATGGTATTCATTTTTGTTGTCCAGAACATGGTAAATTTTTTTTATGTTTATAATATACTCAAATAAACCTTTGTTTTAACTTCTATTATACAATAAAGATATCGTAAAACATATTAAGATAGGATGTCTGAGGTGAATTGGGCATATAATGCGGATGGAACAAAATGACCCAGCTAGGAAAATGCTCCTTGATAGACCCATTGGTCAGAGAAAAGGAAGACATAGAACAAGGTTCCTTGTTAACATCGATGAAGACGTGAGACATATGGGAATACGTGCTTGGTGGAGGAAGGCCATGGATAGAGATGACAGGAGAGAAATTCTTGAGAAGGCTAGAACCCACGCCGAGTTGTAAAGCCAAAATGATGATGATTATACAATAAATCCGTGCTAGCATAATTTTTTTGAAGCGCAAGTGATCCAGGTTTAATGACTAGAATGCAAATTTTTGAAAATCACTTAATAACCGATTGGTAGATTACTAAATAACTGTGTCCCTCCCATGTACTCTTATTTGGTTAATCCATTCGTCATTTCTTATTAAAATATTTTTTTTATTTCAGGTAGCGGCAAGAAATAATGGCAGTTATGTAGTAAATTGGAAAGGTGCAGACTTGTCTCAGAATATCGGAAAGTATCGATATGAAGTCTTAGTAAATGCCGGTAATAAATTAAACGAGAGCCTCGCACAGAAGTTTATTGTGGATGGACCACCATTTATTTACGCAAACTCGTCTTCTAATATGTACACTTTTGCTGTTAGAATAAAAACATCAGAAGGTCTTAACTCTCAAATGTCTAATCCCGTCAGTTTAGAAAACCTTATAAAATCTTCATACTGGTACTCATTTATTTTTTAACAATATTTGTAATTTGATATTATTTAGTTAGTGGGCAAAAAACACGAGTAAACTATATACTGATGTCAATATTGTGTTTGGCAGCATTCTGGGAAGATTTTTCATAACTCATATCAGCATATGCAGAGTTTTTAATATTTTTGTTCATTTCTGGATAAACACAAATAATCTGCATACCGGTGTCCATATCTTTTTTAATATCATTTAAATGTTTGAAATTATTAGGTTAGTTGGCGGAAAAACTCATGTAAATTACATACTGATATTAATATTGTTTTTGGTAGTATTCTGGGAAGATTTTTCATAACTCTTGTCAGCATATGCAGAGCTTTTGATAATGTTGTTAATTTCTGGATAAATATAAGTAATCTGCATACTAGTATCCATATCTTTTTTGGTATCATTTATATTATTTTTTTCCGTGGGTTGAAAAGCACAAGTATTTTGCATTCTCGTCTGAATATTCCTACTATTAGAACAACCAAGGTGTAGTTCTCAATTTACTGCGAATGTCTATAAAATATTACCCTTCTTATTCCTATTTTACCAATTCATTGAATTATTTTAATATGTTTTTAATGTTTTACAGAATTAAATATTCACTACACTCTCAACCATTTTTTTTATTTAGCCTTCTTCAAAAACTTCTGGTAGACTGTAACCTTATGATGATCTAACCTCTGGTAGATGATCTCAAAAATTATTTTTACCAAATTTTTCTGGATTATTTGGACATAGACACTACTATGGAGTAAATTATACGAACGACATTGCCGTCGGCGAGTGTTGCTACCCATGTAGAGCCATAACTTCTCAGTAATGTGTAATAAGTGTAATATGTTAGAATAGTTTTAAAACTTTACGATTTTATCAAAATAGTAAATGGTAGAGATATATCTTCCATTAAAATAGGTAGGCTTAGATGGGCTGGGCATATATGAAGAGCAAATGAGAACTACCCACCCAGACAAACCCTATTAGTGCTACCAGTAGGAAATAGGAGTAGAGGCCTAAAACAAAAATATTGGGATAGTGTGGAAGAAGATCTGCGAGACAAACTGGCAACAGTTGCTGCTAAACAGAAACAAAGACGAAATAGACTGGGTAAAGTCAAAGCTCTGATGATGATGATGATGATGATGGGGCCTTATTGCTTGCCGTAAAAGGCGATTGAATGGAGCAGCTGCCCGTTGTCCATTATCCAAATTCCTAACCTGTATCTGTGTAATAGCAAAAACTTCCAACTATCATACAACACCTGCCCTTACCATCCCTCCCCCCGACTTCGTCCTGATACCCAAACGTATACCACTGGAAGAAACCACTGAGAAATGAAATACATAGGACAGGCGGCTATGCATCAAATTCTAATACACGCCCCCCCCCCCCCCCAACTTCAAGGTGTAATACCATCGTGTCGAAAGGGTGCATGGCCCAAAAAAAACCAAAGAAAAAAGTGGTTCTCAAACGATGCCCGAAGGAGGGGTCGAACCGAAGGGGATTATAGCCTTGGCGAAGTAAGCTCGCGCTGTCACGCTGGACCGAAGAATCAACCTAACTCGGGGGAAGAAGGGACAAATATTTAATAAAAAAGAAGGTAAGTACAGGGGTAGGAGAGTCTATAGAGGATATAAGCGAAGAGAGGCTGGCAACAATAGCATAAGAGAAAGAAGAGGACAGTCGCAAGTTTGGAATTATACAGTGTGGAAACCACTTATGGAATAAAATTGTTTGTCTACCTATTTTAGAAAATTATAAAAAATGCTGGGACACGTCAACTTTTAAATTCAAATGTGCGTTGATATCGAAAGAAATATTTAGTCGTTCGTATTTTTTTAAATTAAAATAGCAGCAAAGAATATAGATAAGCGTCTATATTCTTTAATAGCAGAATCCATAAAATAATATATTAAAAATGTACTTTTTCAAAGTTTCTCTGCGTAAATTTGAACCATAGGCACAGAATAATAAACAAACAGAATATCCACTCTCCACGGAAAATTAAGTACGCGCATCTCCTCCGCGCAGACGTTCCGCCATGTTTTAGGAGGATTTTAAAGAAATTAGTGTTGTTTATGTGGTGTGTATGGAAAAATTAACCAGGTTTATTTGACTTACGGCAATCATAGACATACTATACAATTATATTTAACAATGTTAAATATAATAACATAAATATAATATAATTTAAACATAAATATAAACAATGACGTATAATATATAGACTCGGTGAACGCTTTAAAAAGTGTCCAAAACATAAATACCTTTGTTATTGTTTATTGTTTTGATACGAAGATGCACGAAGTTCATGATTTCTTACGAAGCATCACGAAGTTGAGCTTATGTTTGAAAACATCATGGACGTATGAAAACATTTTCTCCATTTTGTGTGACAAGCAAATTTTATTTTAAATTGTTGAGAGTTATTTACTTACTATTTTAGTAAAATGTCATACTATTTTATCAAAATAATTATTTCTCTTATAGATGGAACAAAAAGAAATCATAAATATTTAATTTTAATTAAAAAAAGAATTATTGTCATTAACTTATAAATGAGCACGCCGCTGTTGTGATAAACATACCTTCAACCTTGAGCCGAGATCTTTCGGACACTCGATTCTATTGACTATTCGGATTAAGATCGCAGCGCCAATGCGGTATCAATTTGAACCGAGCTAAGAGCCATTATAATAATTGTTTACACCTCATCTTGTATATTGCGATTGCGTTAGTTTTATGTTTTTGGAGTAGTTTTGTTCGTTTATCCATGGTTTTTTAAATTCAATATTTTTTGTTTGACTATTGTTTATTCCTACTGATTAATACAAAGACAATTTTGTTAATTATAAGTTTTATTTTAGTTATAGACTTGTTAGAGTTAAAGAGTTAACAAGAACTTAAAGTTCTATTTTTTAATCCTTAAGTTAAATATCTTAGAATATATGTAAGTTTTTGGGTGGTACTAAAAATTCAAGATGTGCTGTAGAAGGAGAACAAGTTTTAAACTCGTGTAATGTACCTACCTACTCACATGTAAGATAATTAAAGTATCTATGTATTTCTATATAGTTTTTAGTCACCTGGTATATGTTATTTACAATTATGAAAAGTTCTCATGTATAATCACTAATAATTATTTGCTGTTAGAAATCAGAATCAATACTCTTCATAAATATTTTCCTATTTAGAATAAATAAGTTTCGCTAGTTTATTCGCCTAATACTTCGTATCTATGGAATAATAATAATTTATTTCTCTTATTTCTTTGTTCGATAAGCTATCCGTATTTGCTATTTTAATATTAATATTTGAGTCCAATCTCTTGTACTCAAATCCATCCAGAAACATCGTTAAATAATTGTAGATAACAGAACTTATAAATTCATAGTTTTAAGAAATAACAGGCAGTGTAATTTTCATCCTCTAATATAATAAATTTATACATGTCAATATATTCTGTTTAATTCCAAAACAAAGAGTTAGTCCGGAGAAGAAATAAACGCATAGTATTCCATAACAAAATTTGGTGTCAGAACGTGGGATATTAGTAGCAGAGTTCCTCTGATTGCTGATAGAAGGAGAGCTGAGGAATTTTTGAATTGACTTGTTTCCTTCGAGGAATCATTCAAAAAAAAACTGTCAGTGTGGAAAAATCGCCACTACAACTAATTACATTGGGGTCCAGTACATCCAGTTCGAAATCCAGTTCCAGTCATAACCCAATTGTAGTTCCATCGGAAGTAGAGGTGAACCCGTGGAATAATAGACTATGCGACCAACAACAATATTCTACTTGTAAGTACATTCTATCTTAAATTCTGTCTCATATTTTAAAAATCTTGTAAACGTATGTCTACTTTATATCCTGATATAAGTAACTTATTTGACGAACAAATACCTTCTCCCGACTCAAATTCTCTTTCAAATTCTTCTACTTCTAATTCAAATAAAATGTCAGTATCAATTGAAATAGCTGAAAAACTTCTCATTCGATTTGATGGTACAAAATCAAAATTATACGAATTCATAGACAATTGTGATAAAGCATACAATTTAGTAAATCCGCAATCCAAACCCATCTTATTAGCCATTATAGAAACTAAATTAACCGATAAAGCTAGGGCCATAACTAGAAACAGAACATTTGACGAATGGAAAGATTTAAAAGACTTCTTATTAGATGCTTATTCTGAACGCCGAACTGAAGGTCAGTGGCAATTGGAATTACATTCCTTACGTCAGATGCCCAGTGAAAATGTAATGTCATTTGCAAATAAAGTTGAAAATTGCTATATAAAATTAATAAATACACTTGATCCAGACTTATCTCCAGATGCAAGAAATGCATGTACTAAACTCTTAAAAACTCAAGCACTAAATGTCTTTATTAGAGGATTAAACAAAGACCTCTCTATTTTAATCAAAGCCCGAAATCCAGATTCCTTAGAAAGAGCTGTTGCTATAGCAATTGCCGAAGAACAAGAACAGTTATCAAGACAAGAAATTTTCAAACCATTCTGTAATATTTGCAAACGAAACAACCATTCCTCAAATAACTGTCGATATAAAAACAATTCAGATAGAAATGTTAGATATCTTCAAAATTCTAGTTTTCAAAACCCAAAATATCCTAATTCAAATCTTCAAAGGTCAAATTCTCAAAATCAAAATTATAAACCTTCAAATTCAAATTCCAATTCTGATTTTCCTCCAAACTTAAGAAAAGAAAATACCAACACTTCCCAACGTTTTTGCAGATACTGCAAAAAACCAGGTCACGTTATAGAAGAATGTAGAAAACGCGAATTTAACAATAAAAACAAAAATCCAACAAATTCTTTAAACTTCCAGAATCCTCGACAACCAACGGTCGATTCTCGAGGAGTTCGTTCAGTTCAGGCCGTATCACAACCATCAACTTCTCAGTCACTTCCTATGTAGATTTACCCTTAGTAAATAATTCTAATCCATCCTCTTGCAAGTTTCTAATCGATACAGGCGCAGATATTTCTTTAATTAAATATTCAAAAATACTAAACATTCCAAAAATTTATTCTAAGTCTATTACTCTACGAGGCATTGATAAAAATGTCTTAAATCCAAATAAAACTATATGTAGTTGTAACGTAAATTTCAAGATAAAAGATTTTGTCCAAACTCATGTTTTCTATGTCGTAGAAGACGATTTTCCTCTTCATTTCGACGGTATATTAGGTAGCGATTTTTTTGAAATAAATAAATGCCAAATTGATTATAAAGAAAATAAATTAAACTTTAAAAATTGTTCTATTCCAATTGAATATATAAAATCTCCATTAAACAATGACAATGACGAATTTCTGAGAGATCAAAATATCGAGACAAGTTCTAATATCGATGAAATATTTCCTTATGATGCTAAATCCATAGAGGATCATTCTTATTTAGAAACCAATGATATCCAAATAACCTTAAGTAGTGAAGAACTACTATCCAATCCAATTCAATCTAAATCTAACTCTAAATCCAAAGAAAATTCAAGTCCAAAATGTGTAAAATCCACTGAGATATGCACAAATAAAACTTGTAACTCTTCACGAAATCATAAATCAAAATCTTGTTCAGAAGAAA